GAGGCTGAGGGAAGACCTGATTACAGCCTATAAATACTTGAGAAAAGATGGCGGGGAGGTGGGGGAAGGGCTCTTTACATTAGTGTTGGGTGATAGGACAAGAGGAAATGGGCATAAGCTTAATCAGGGGAGATTCAGGTTGGATGTTAGAAAGTATTTCTTCTCTGAAAGGGTTGTCAGCCACTGGAATAGGCTGGCCCGGGGTTGAGTCCCCATCCCTGGATGTGTTTAAGAAAAGGGTGGATGAACTACTTAGGGATATGGTTTAATGGGGATTAGGGATGGTTGGACTGAATGATCTCTAAGGTCTTTTTCAACCTAGAAAAATCTATGATATCTGTGGTCTCGGTTACAGGGTTTTGAATATCTCTTACTTGGCATGGAAACAATGATTATGCTTTCCCTGTGCTATGGCACAAAAAGTATCTTGAAGATGTCATGGTCCAAATGGATTGGCTTTTCTTAGCTGACTGCTTTTGTGAAAACTTACAAGAGTGAATAGACATTTGCAGAGCAAATCCAGCTGTTTTCTGTTCCCCCCCTGCCCCCCAAACCTATTAATAGCATTTGTTCAGGAAGCAGAATTTGTGTGTATAAGTTGCTGAACAGTAACAATATGCAAGGAAATTAAGCAAATTGAATGCTAGCCCCTCCCTGCACCCCAAATAATATGAAGAAATGGAGAGCTCATTTTGATGAGTTTATTTTTTTCACTACAGAATTTGTTTGTGATAGCTGCAGTTCATAAATGATCACGTGTCTAGAACTGCCTGCTCATCAAGGAGTTCTCATAAAATAAAAATATCTTGAGTATTGTTTCATTTTGTTGCAGCCATTACTTAGAATTTACAACTAGAAAAAAAAATGCTTTAATTTGACTAATGTGCAAAAGTTGTTTCTTTAGGGAACCAGACATTTACCAATATTTCCTAAAATGAAGACTCAATGTTTCTTCCCCTTATTCTAACCAATGAGAAAAACGAGTTTTATGTCTAATTTCTTTTTGCTTTAAATTCTGTTTAGGCTCAAGATCTTAATTCAAGAATTGATCGTTCTTGCTACATGCTTCACTGCTGAGGCGGAAATGCTTTTTCTTGATGACCAATTTGACAAACTGTTTTTGTTTACGTGCCAAAGGGCACAGACAAGAGAATTTCTTTTTTCATTCCTCTTAGAAGTGAACCAAATCAAGGGTTCCCAAGGACAGAACAGTGTCAAGGAAGTAGGCTTTAAAGCCATGAAAAAGTATTTCTGAATTTAAGCCTATAGCTGTCCCTCCCTATTCTCTTACTTCAAATAGTATTTTAGGTGAAAGCTACCAAGAACAGAGACTAGCTGTGTTAGAGATAATTCAAATATTGCTCTTCTCTACATGAATAGTGAACCAGTGTCCTCTTGTATTAGAGTTATATGCTAGGATTGAAGGGCAGAGAAGAATTAACCTTCTCAGAAATCCGTCTTGCACCTAAGCTGCTTTGGGAGAAGTTCTGGAAAATCTTTCAGAGGACATTAAAGTGTGCGCTCTCTCCTGGCTGTAGTAATTGTTTGGCATCATCGCAAATTTCTGTGCAGTTCTACCTCCTCAAGGGTGTTATCTGGTAGCCATTAAATCATTAGCATAATTTCCTCTCGGAGAACTGGAGAAGCCCTGTGTGTTCCCTTACTGGTACATATTCTAACCTGTAATGTCAGTGTCCACTATTACAGACCTGCTCTGTGTTACCCTGTAGCTATTGCAGTCGTTCCCCGATGGATTTTTTGTTGTAGGCATGACACGTCCACAGTTACTTCAGCTTTGGTACCTGTAGTGTTATAGTAGTGGTTATTCCATGCATGGTTTGGGGTGGGAAGAAGAAAGAAAATTGGTTTCAGATCATAGCAGCACACCAAAAAAATATTTTCTGTGACTGTGTATAACTTCATGGTAGCAATAAGTGAAGTATTTCTGAACCGTACTTTTGAGTGAATGTCACTCCTCAGCTAACTTAAAGGCTTTGCTTATATATCGTAGACAGAGCCCTTTAAATGCTTTAATGCTTTTGATATTACATAAGAGAGAGTTTGTGTTGTAAACATAAGGTGAAATTGTCACTGAACATGAATGGATATACTTAATGAGAAATGTGTTTTGTTAAGGGCCAGGGACATTTTTACTTGGGGGTAAAAGGAACATTAAAAATAATTTTATCTCTCAGGCCAGACTTCCCTTTGATAGCAACAAAATAAGCTTATTTTTCCCTAGTTGATAGGTTTTGCATTGGGATAAAAACTTCAGTCTTGTTGAGTGATTTCTGCATGCCACTTATCAAAGGCAGACTGTCTTGGAGCTACATCTGTTGCCTCTGAGACATAGAATCATAGAATCATAGAATGGTTTGGGTTGGAAGGGACCTCAAAGATCGTCTAGTTCCAACCTCCCCGCCATGGGCAGGGGAAACACTACACCAGGCTGCCCAAAGCCTCATCCAACCTGGCCTTGAACACTTCCAGGGATGGGGCATCCACAGCTTCTCTGGGCAACCTGTTCCAGTGCCTCACCACCCTCAGAGTGAAAAATTTCTTCCTTATATGTAACCTAAATCTGCCCTCTTTCAGTTTAAATCCGTTACCCCTTGTCCTATCACTACACACCCTTCTCAAAAGCCACTCTCCAGCTTTCCTGTAGGCCTCCTTCAGGTACTAGAAGGCTGCAATAAGATCACCCCGGAGCCTTCTCTTCTCCAGGCTGAAGAGCCCCAACTCTCTCAGCCTGTCTTCATAGGAGAAGTGCTTCAGCCCTCGAATCATCTTTGTGGCCCTCCTCTGAACCCACTCCAGTAGTTCCATGTCCTTCTTGTGCTGGAGACTCCAGAGCTGGACGCAGTATTCCAGGTAGGGTCTCACGAGAGCTGAGTAGAGGGGCAGAATCACCTCTCTCGATCTGCTGGCCACACTTCTTTTGATGCAGCCCAGGTTACGATTTGCTTTCTGGGCTGCCAGCGCACATTGCCGGCTCATGTTGAGCTTCTCATCCACCAGCACTCCCAAGTCCTTTTCCTCAGGGTTGCTCTCAATCCATTCTTCGCCCAGCCTGTACTTATGTGCAGGTTAGACTATGGGCTGGTCCCTAATTCTTCTTACAGAAAGATTTACATCGAGGAGGTCACTGCTAACCATCAGTGGTGGTTCAGTAACTTTTTTAAAAATTATTTTTTTATTTAAAATATGTTTATGATTGACAAATATACTTTCATTCCCTATGACAATTAATTGTTATAATGATTTACTCTCATCTCCATCTCCTTTTTAATGTTCTTTTCCCACTTGTGTTTTTTTTTCCCCTTCTCAAAACAGTGGCTAAAGTCTCACATGTCAATGAGTTTTATGAAGACCAACCCCAGATCCTGTATCTAATCTTCTTCATCATCATCATCATCAGTGTCTAGGGAAGGATGAAAAGGCAAAAGTTGGTTAGAATTTCCCCATATACCCTGCTACTTTCCAGTGTTCTTCAGCTCAGTGATTTCATAAAGTAGATATTGTGGCTTCATGCTAAGCCTTTTTGTTTTTCTTTGTTTATTTTTCAGAGTTCCTGTCGTATTCCTTGACATATGTTTTTGAAGTAACATTCCTTCATGTGAAAAAACATGTTGACTCTTCATCAGTATATTATCTATATCTATTCTTATGCTTTTATAGTTGTTTTTACCTACTTTCTTTGTAGAAATATCTGGACTTCAGACTGATTGTAACTCCTTGGATGCCAAAATATTGCAACTTTTGCTGTTTTGCAGTGCAGTGGTACCAAAGCTGTTCTAAACAAGTTCCCCCCTTTCCCTCCACTGCCCTTCTCAACACACCCACTGTACCCCTCCATGCTAGTATGTACTTTGATTCTGCACTCTTTAGCCTGAAGGCAGGATTTTAATGGTTGTAGCTATTAATATCTCTTATTAGCAGTAGAAGAGTGTAAAAACATGGATAGTTGTTTTTAAGTTGGTTTTTGTATGTGCTAATGCTCAGGAGAAATCCTTTCATATTATCTGGTTTGTAGTCATTCCATGCCTTCAAAATAAATTATAGATGAATGTAATGCTCTGAATAAGGTCATATAAATACGATTTAGGTCATGGCACCTTGTGCATGAAACTAATTACTGCTTGTTTTTGCTTTCTTTTTAGAGTCTTTCATTGTACTATAAAGGAGGATTTGAACAGAAAATGAGTAGGCGAGAAGCTAGTCTTATTTTAGGTGTAAGGTAAGTTGTGTTACATTAATATGTTTTTGTTTGGTAAGTACTGAATGAAGAAAATGCACATCGCGAGGACATGGAATACCCTTAAATATCGTAACTTTTTTTTTAAAAGACTTCTAATGGTTTATAAACCATTCTAATATTCTGCTTAAGCTAAAAAGCAAACAATAAAATGCTAATAAAACATGCTACTTGTGTTTGGCTTGAAGGCATGGTAACATATTGCAGTAGAGAATTGGTGCTCTAGAAATAATCAGAATAGCACATATTGTGCTAATTAGTGTGATCACATGGCCTGGACTCCAGAAAACCCCTCGAGATAAGTAATATTGTAGATTATATTAATAAATGACGAAAGCAAATCAATCTTGCTCATTTTTTTTCTATAAGTCAGTAATTATTTTTTTTTTTCTTTCTCCACTCTTTGATTTGTCTGGATTAAAAAAGTTGCAGCATATTCCAAACAAAAATACTTGGAGAGACGCATCATTTAGAGTAGGTATGGAAAGTCATTTCCAGGCTGAAGAATCAATGAATTTTTCAGTACATTTTTGAAAAAAGCATTTGAATGGCCACTGGTAGCACACACTTTAGTGTTTTCTGTAAAGTGGTGAGCTTCAGGGCTTTCCAGATGAGAGGAACAGATCTGACCTTAGGTAGTAGATTTATTCTTTATGGCTTACATCAGTTCTGAATCTTAAGGTTTAAAAAAAAAAAAGAGGGTGGCTCTAATTATCCCCAAAAGAAACTATTTCAGATGATGAAAACTGAGATTTAAAATCCTGTTTCAATGTGCTATTTGCATTTACTTCTAACGTAATGGAAATTATGCAGATTTAGCATTCATTTTAAGAAATCGTAAAGTAAAATATTATGTGTATTGGAAATATTTCATACTTGCACACTGAAGAGGAGATTTATAGGAATGCTCGTCAGAAATATTTCCTTTGACCTTTAAGTTTGATAATGTATTAACATTTTCACTTGATAAGGGCAAATTCAGTGATATTCCAGAGTAGCACGCTGCAGCTTATTAAATGTGTTTACAGTGGCAATGCCTAGCCTGAACACTGCTCGGGTACGTGTCTGAAGTTTCATCACATTTGAAATCAGTCCCTTTTAATTTTTAATAGCTTGAATCTGCGATGAGAATAGTGACAGTGCTTCATGTGTTTGGAGGAAGTCTTGCAAATATCACTCTTGATCAGATTTGAGGAGGTTCTTCTTGAGGTTTAACGGATTGAACCTTTAATTCTATGGAACCGTGGCTAACAATTTTATAGGAAATTTTCATATTGTTTAAAATGCTTTTCTAGACCAGTTTAAGCTGATTGCTTGCTGTATTTTATATATATGTATAAAAATGCCACTGGAAAAAAAAAAAAGGCAAGTGAGTTTAAGCATTACGGAAAATGCCAGGGTATGCACAAGTACACAAACTAAATCTGCCTAGGCCCTCATCTTATTATCGTAATACTTGTCCCCTGTATCATCACTTTCAAGTCATATTAAATTCTGAGGCAAAACTTCCTTCGTTATTTCAAGTGCTGAGTATGCATAGGCAGTATAAATAATAAATACAAGCCATGAAAAAGGTGAGCATTTAATGGCAGCTTTTAAATCTCAAATATATTGGCCCATTACACATTCCAATGTTATTTTTTAATAATAGTCTTGAAAGGTTGTCAGAGTTTTGGTAGAAACGTGCATGTGCATTGTTTGCATTTAAACTATGTTAAAGATATCCAAAGCTACAAAGTACTGTATTGGAAATAGTGTCTGATTTTAAGTTTTATTGTTTTTGCATTAGTTGTTATGAAGCAGCACTGATTACTGAAATTTGGTATAAACTTAGCACTAATTTTAACAACTATGTTCTCTGTAGAAGAAACTGCTGATGAGAGACATAGGGAAACGTCTGAGATGACATGGAAGGTGAAAATGTTAAAGAATGTTTTCCAAACATCAGACAAAATTGATGCTAGCAAAATAACTGTCCTAAGTATAATGATTGACAACTATCAAATCCCTGATGCTGAACTTCTGAAGTTAGAAAATCTGTCTGAAAATCAGAAGTTAAAATTTTAGATAAAAATAAATAAAATTTTCTGTATTGTACCATTTCTTTCATGAAACAATATGCATACTTTCTATTCCCATAGGAAATATTTAATTGTTTGTTAAGTTACAAGATACATATATGCAATAGTAAAAATGTTTAAATCATTATTCTTAAAACATAAGTGAAATAACCAAAAAAATTACACTACTACATTAAAAAAGCATATAGTACATTGTATAAATGTACAAACACAAATATATTTAAAGGTTTAATAATTGTAGCGTTTGGGTTTTTTTTTAAGTTACTTTCATGTGATTTTTAAACACAGCTCACTGCACAGGTATATCATATGATCATAAGACCACTCAAGTAGGGAGGGACCGCAGGAGGTCTCTAGTTGTACCTGCTGCTTGAAACAGGGCCACCAGTGAGATTGGAGCAGGTTACTTGGGACTGTATCCAGCAGATCTTGAAAGACTCCCAAGGATGGAGGATGTACATCCTCTCTGGGCAATCTGTGTCACTGCTGGACTGTCTTAGGCGTGAAAAAGTATTATGTCCAGCCCACACCTCCCTTTTCAATTTTTGCCCATTTTCTCTCAACCTCCAACCATGCATGAGTGTGGAAGAGCCTGGAGCCATGTTCTTTATCGTAGAATCATAGAATGGTTTGGGTTGGAAGGGACCTCAAAGATATCTAGTTCCAACCCCTCTGCCATGGGCAGGGAAACCCTCCACTACACCAGGTTGCCCAAAGCCTCATCCAGCCTGGCCTTGAACACTTCCAGGGATGGGGCATCCACAACTTCTCTGGGAAACTTGTTCCAGTGCCTCACCACCCTCAGAGTGAAAAATTTCTTCTTTATGTCTAATCTAAATCTGCCCTCTTTCAGTTTAAATCCGTTACCCCTTGTTCTATCACTACACGCCCTTGGAAAAAGTCCCTCTCCAGCTTTCCTGTAGGCCCCCTTTAAGTACTGGAAGGCTGCGATAAGGTCACCCCAGAGCCTTCTCTTCTCCAGGCTGAAGAGCCCCAACTCTCTCAGCCTGTCTTCATAGGAGAGGTGCTCCAGCCCTCATATCATCTTCGTGGCCCTCCTCTGGCCCCGCTCCAGCAGCTCCATGTCCTTCTTGTGTTGGGGACTCCAGAGCTGAATGCAGTATTCCAGGTGGAATCTCATGAGAGCAGAAGGGAGGGGCAGAATCACCTCCCTCGATCTGCTGGCCATGCTTCTTTGGATGCAGCCCAGGATACAGTTGGCTTTCCCCCTTATGTAAGCCCTGCCCTCCAGTGTGTTGACAGTTCCCACCAAGATGACAGACTTCTCAGCCAGTTGGTGATGTTAGAAGGCAGCACAAATTTGGTGTAACTTAAGTTGTGAGGCTGTACTGGTTCAACGAAAATGTAATTTTGACATTCAAGGTTTTTTTTAATAGTGGTTAAGAATCTTTAGAGACCAGTCTGACTGTGGGATAAGCAGTATCTCGTAAAGTAAGCAAATCTGATGTAAAACACCATTTTCACAGTTGCTTCTCAGAGCAGAATGTGGTGATTTTTCCGTAAAATGCAACTGCAGCTTTTCCACACATGCTTTGACCATCTGAATTTCTAAATGTAGTATATCAACTCACCTTTATTATTATTAAACCATAGCTTTACAGATTAAAATATAGATGATTGTTATTTTTAGCTGTCTGGTAACAAATTGTTTCATTTTCGTAGTTACATAGTTCAAGGCCTTTTAGCCTCTGTTTAATTCTTATTTTCTCTTCTACTTTCTGTTTCATTGAAGTATTCTTTTCTTATGCAGTTCTATGAACTATTTTTGCAACATACCCTAATTTCCCTGTGACAGAATAATAATTAGAGGTTGTTTACCTTGGGAATGTAGTTAGGCTGATACCTTGCATTCAAACCGTATCTGCAAAAAGATTAATTAATTAAATCATCACTGATTAACAAGTCACCTGAAGCAGAAATGAGGCAGTGTTTTCCACATGCTAACAAATTATGAAAACCTAAACCATGCAAACTGTCTTTTTGCATGTGATAGCCTTACTATTTTGGCATACTGCATCTATAAGTGGTTATTTGTTTGGTAAGGTACATATTTAATTTAGGCCAAGTGCATATTTTATGTATCTGTCGTTGAAGGAAACAACGTTGTGTAGCACTTGTAAATCAGTATGTCCCTGAATGTAACACATTGAACAGCTCTGCAAAAATAACAAATGCAGGGATTTTTTCAGGCCCCAGCAGAAAGAAGAACTCTTTATGGCAGCTATAAAAATATTTACAGTAGAATGAAATGTGATAATATTAAATAGTTGTTGTTTTGTCACTGGTCATATAAGTACTTATTTTCTAGGAGGAAAAAATGGGTTTTCTGTGTTTAATGATAAGAATAACTAGCTAGATACAGCTAGAGCTGCTAAGGTTTTTCCTTTTCTTTTTTTTTTTTCCCTGAATTGTTTATTTTAAATGAGTGACTGTATTGTGTTTTTTAAAAAAAAAACCTGAAAGATACTTGTTTGTGTCAAATATACAGGCTTTTTAAAAAGGTCCTTCTCAGTGTGTCATGCATACCTTTGTTATTGTCACTTCCTCGGAGATGCAGTTTTATGTTTTGTCCACAAGATGGTGAAAATCTCAAGTTTTAATTATTTTTGAAGCCAGTAAAAACTGTTAATTTATAGCCTGAGTGCAGTGGCGTTTATGGTGAGCACTTCAATTTGTATTTGCAGTCCATCTGCTAGCAAGGCCAAAATCAGAACAGCCCATAGAAGAATCATGATTTTGAATCATCCTGATAAAGGTAAATAATTATTACTTTTCTTAAGCCTCTTCCTTTCCACCTCTGGTTAAATGAGATCCTTTAGGTTTACTGATTGTGTAAATAACCACGCTGAGTGCAAATGTATGTTGTTTATTTATAGACTTGAGTATCCATGTGTCCTCTTTTAAATGAACTAGGCTTTATGAACCACAGCTTTACCCCTCTTTCTTTAATATTATTTTTTAGAGTTGTACTTCTTCAGTTAAAATGATGACCTCAGGGACCAGTCTTCCGCACTTCAAAAAAAACTTCTTCAAAAACAAGGAAAAATTAGTTACAACATTTTTAAATTGAACTGACATTCCTGTTTTGAACTGAAATGGACCAGTCACAGGTCTGAAAGTATCTTTCTGTGGGAAAATGTTCTGCAGTCACTAAGTACATCATTGATGAATTTCAGACTTCCTGGAATTAACTTGGAAAAAATGTAAAGCTGGGCCCTGTTGCTTTACTGGCCGGGTTTTTAATGTAAATTTATCTTACAGAAAGGCTATTATTATAACTTTAACTACACTACAGCTGGTTGAGAAAGAAAGCCCATATGTTCATTGCTGTTTCTACTTTAAAATAACAGATGGTGAAGAGTTGCACTGTATTTCAGAAGTCAAAAGGGGAAATCGAAGGGTTTTTCTATCTTTTTGACAGAATTACAGGGCTCCCTGCCAGCACCCCATCTTAAGAGAAGGAAAAAATAACTGTGACCACTGACCATGGGAAGTGTTTAGTTGATTCTTTTTGCTGTCTTCACGCCTCAGTTTAATTCCAAAGTTATCCTGCTTATTCGATTTCACATTTTCATTTTTTACACTTTTTATAGTGTATAAGCTGTACAGACATAGAAAAGAAATTATCTTCTGCATTTCTAATATATTATGATAGTCAGAGGCCTATTAACCACTAGAGTACCTATTAGGTCAAATTTTTTTTGGTAATGAACTTCTAAGTTTATTATAGCAGTACTTAGAGACGTGAGCCAGAACCATGAATCTCTGTGTGGATGTTGAGTAGTCCTAAAGAGGCAGTTCCCTTTAGGAAGATCGTACATTTTAACGACCCACTCTTACAGTTGTAATGCACCTGCAGCTGGGCACTGTGTGCTATTAAGATGGAGCATTTTCTCAGTAGGAACACCAGTTGAAGGGATTTTTGCCTCTGTGCTGCCCCTGCAGCTCTTCTGGCATGGCCATGGAAAAAAACCTTGTGTAATGTCTTCAGCTGCAGAGCGAGGGCCTGGAGTAATCCTGAACATGTGGCAGCACAGAGAGACTTGTTTGCTTATGTATGTATCTTGATTTCTTCTGGCTGTGGGTAGCACAGATGTGCTTTTAAAATAACATTCAACATTAGAATGTTATTTTAAAATAATATTTTACCAGCTGGAGTTGATAGAAGAAAGGGCAATAATTACAGATTTTTGAAGTTACATATGTTATCTGAGATCCAAAATGTTGGAGAGAGAATTATTATAAATAAATAAATAAGACATATATAGCACTTTGCATAATAACATCCCCAGTGAGCACTACTAAAATAGTTGCTTATTAACCTTTACAGTTCAGTTTTAAAATGGTTTTTATATTGATACATTGTATGTTAATTTATCAGTTACTGATTTTGTGAAAGAATACTTGCTCGCAGAAGAAGAGGGAGAGAGAAGCCTGTTGGACTTGCCCTAATTATAAACAAACACTTAGGCAATCATGAGATTGAATTTTCTCTCATTGGAGGGCTACAAAATTAATATGGCACTTAAGGATGTAAATGTAGTGAAAACACTTTCAGCAGATTTGAATTTACTTTAAGATCCTGCACTCTAGACATGTAGAAAATCAACACACATTTAAAAATTACTCGGGATACGTTGTTTATTGCAATTTGTAGTCTTTACTGTTTGTTTGATCCTCTTGTCTACTCTTTGAAAGAAGCAATACTCATGTAGTAAATCCTATTCCTGGCTAAAAAGCCAATTGATTTAAAAAAAGAAAAAAAAAATTCTTTTTCCCGTAGCCAGTACTCTACCCTTCCCCTGCCCTGCCTCACTTTCCTCCAGTATGTCTTACCTATTAGGGCTATGTTCAAACAAAACCAAAACATAAACAAGAGAACTCCATTACTTTTTTAAGTTGTTTTATTACACCATGAATTGACTTTAAAATTCTTTGGATTCCTGCAGAAATACCCTAAAGTAGTCTTTAAGCAAGCCTTGGCTATTTGTTTTTCTATATATGCGTCTGTAACTAGTTCTGCCTTTTTCTTCTATCATTATCTTTTCTGATGAAGAAGTAGAATGACTGAAATGATGACTGAAAAATTATTATTGAGTAGATGCCTTGGAAAAGGCTATTCAGAGCATGGTACTGCTGGAATCACGTTTTCATGTGAAAAATACAGGTGTATTATAGTAAGTGGTAAATTACTGATACAGACCTTGTAATGTTGTTTTTGGTGACTGTAGGCAGATGGTTGGCACTCAAGGGGAGAGTTAAAAAAACAAACACAAAAAGACTGCTGAACTGTAATCAGATTGTTAGATGGAGCGTGAAGCAATGACAGTGTTCAGGACTAGGAGTTAGAAGGCGTACCATGTTTAAATAGCTTTAATGTGATGGTTTCTGGCTGGTAATTCCAGACATGTAGCACAGGAGAGGCCTTGGGTCCATGTGCATGCACCTAATGATTCTTTGTCAAAATTATTTGTAAAATTTTACCTCTTAGGTTTTGGGGTGGGTAGAATAGTAGCTATTAGCTTTGGATGAATGTTCAAGACAGCTGACCTTGCATACTTTTGCAGCAGCAGTGCACTGCAAGTGTAAATCACACCGGTGTAAAGTGATTTCAGTCTTCTCTCTCTGAGACAAATTGTTCAGTGTTATTCTTCGGTGACTTCAGTTTTGATTATGTTTCTCATGGTTCCTTATCAATTAGTTTACTTCATATCAGGGTCATTTTTTTTAAGCAGTTGTATGAAAAGGATCTGTTTAGGAAGGAGGAGTTAATGAAAGTGAGTAATAAGGGGATGCTGCAAATGAAGTAGTTTGATACTTAATACTGACATGTAAATGGTATTCCTTTCACCTTTTTCTTCTCAGGTGGATCACCTTACTTAGCAACAAAAATAAATGAAGCAAAAGACATGTTGGAATCCACTGCCAATAATTGAAATCCGAAGCCCTGGGTCATAAGAGATTCAGCAGATACATTGTGCAACAGCTTTTGTATCTATTTGCTCTGCTCGGTTTTTTAACACTGCATTGATTGTTCCTATTTATTGTCATAATTAAAAGTTTGAGATTGTTTAAAAGCAAACTGAAATCTTTTACAGTTATGTGAAGTTATGTACAGTTATGCTCCTGTGAGGAGCAGGGAGTTGGACTTTGTGATCCTTACGGGTCCCTTCTAACTCGAGATATTCTATGATTCTATGTATCAATTTTAGTGTATTTTTACTGAATTATGATCCATTACAAGCTTTGAAAATGTTCTCCTACTGCCTTTGGTTTTTCTTCAGAAGTAGTTGCTTCTTTCCTTAAACTTTCGGAGCTTTTTAAAATTTAAAAAATAGTCTTAAATACAGGGTTTCTTCCTCATTGATGAAGACTTGACCTTTGCCAGAAAATCTGTCACAATGTATTGAGGCACAGGAAGCATGGCAGACACTGCATGGCAAGTTTTTGGTGTCACCTTACACTTGAATCTGTTCATTTGTGAAATAGTAGGGTTTATTCGTGAGTGCAGTTCAAGAGGTAGAACTCGGACCAAAACGACTAACGGGACTACAGACTGCAGTTTCCATTAACTGCATATATGAGGCTTGGAGATACGAAGGAAGAGTCTTGGTTAGAGTTAGTTCTTTTAAATCTTAAAAGATCTCTGAAATTGTCAAATAATTATTTGGACATGCTTTTACTTCAAGTTACAGACTACGTTTATTCCATAGCAGCTGGAGTGGTGCAGGGGTTTTCATAGCAGTGGCAGTGAAGGAGGTAGGTCCATGTGGCGTGTAGTTCAGATGGATTTTATAAAAAGCAGTTGTCTGGGTCAGGTCGGTCCTGTCAGCCTGGTGTAGGACTGATATAGAAAGGAACAAAGAGGACTCTACCCCTGATGACAGTCGCTTTGCTTATGGCTCTGTATGGATACACTGAGTTTAGTTCTCCAGTAATTTTCACATCTTGGTGTTATGCTCCATTTTCCGAAGTATCATAGACACCTCCTTATGTAGCACCCTAGCAACCTAGTGCTGGCTTTGGGGAATACTGGGGCCATGGATCTCTGACTTTAAAGAGAACACATTTTAATTGACAGCTGAGAGTAGATGCTATTTGGGGCACTTGGCTGCTGTGAATTCCTACCAGTAAGTTGGCTGCAGATTAATTAATTCTCCTAAGAGGATGATGATGAGATGAGACAGTCTAGTGGATTCACTGCAAGACTTAAAAACTTTCTAGCATCCAAACTCATATCGTTTGAGGTACAACAAACAACTTGCTGAAGTGTTACAAATACAAAATTTAGATATCCCATTTCCTAAGTTACTTAGCCAGAGGAAAGTGGCTAAGAGCAGTTAAATAATTAAAGCATCCAACCTCATATTATCCACCAGAACGTGCATTTGTCTATTCATCCAGTGATGGATGTCTAGATTATATGGATTTTTTCCTTGAAAGGGAGAAAGAATATGAATTATTTGTTTTTTATCAAGTTCCTCCTGCTTTGTCACAATTCCTTTACTTTCATTAAGGATATATGAAAAAAGTTTAAGTTGACCCGGGAAGAAAATACTAACTTTAGGTAATTTAGAGATTTCCTGACAATTAGAGTGGCAGAACATCTGACAGCTTGACTGGATAAAGCAAAAAAGGCTGCAGGGAAAAACCTGCCTGGGAATGGGCATGCACTATATGAGTACTGTGCTTGAGACATTTAACTAATGCTCTAATACAAGAAATTTTAATTTAATGGACTTCATTCCTATGCAGTAGCTTAGCAGTTTTTTGTTAAAAGAGTAGCCACCCATTAATGCACACTTAAAGTTTGTTATTCCTTTCTCTGAAATACCAGTATGTATTAGAAAAAAAAAATCATTAAGGTTTTCATTTTGGGAAAAGTGAGATGGTGAGGTTGTTCCTCATTTTCTTAAGTGGAGTCTGGTTAGTGATCTGAGACACTGTTCAAAAGCAAAATTGATATGCATGGTAGGTAGCAAAAACGTTCTCTGTAATGATTTTGAACTAACTAGCTGTTTTCATATGATTAACCTTTTTTTACCTGAGTAAAATGACATATAAAGAGCTATTCTAAAGTGTCAGTTGAAACAAATGCATTAAAGATGGCTACTTGTTCTGTTCTTAAAAATTAACTTCACGTGTCTTTGTAGGAGGTACGGGTTTTATTTTTGTGAGATTGCATTGTTGATAATTTTCTTCCTGATCTAATTATTTAAATCTGATTATTTTGGATGAAACACTTTTTTCTGGCTTTCAGTTATGAGAGAGATTGTCCTTCTTAATAAATAAAACCAGGCTCTAGTTCTGCTTTGTCCCTCTTTTTCAGAGCAGACTACTGACCGATTAACAAATTTGACAAATTAACAAATTAAAAAGTTCAACAAATTAACTTCAGCCAGTTGTGTTTCTGGAAAATGCCGTAAAATGAGTGAAGCTAATGAATAGCGATTGTGAAAGCATCATTATTGTGTGTCCGGTGGCATAACATCACACGTACAATAGCGTAAGTATGTAGCCATGGAAGCAACTAATTTTTCTCATCTGTTCACTGGTAAAGTTTGCTTTACCTACTCAATGATGTTTGGAAGGATGAAGAAAGGATAGGGAAAGGAAAGATGTAGTCAAGCAAATTGTGTAAATACTGCTCAATTTGTTGCCGCTGACAGTCAGCGTTACAGGCTAAGGAATGTCTGTGGAGACTGCCTTGCAGAAGAGCACCTGGTTTGGTGCTCAACTGGACTAGGAAAAACGGGATACTACTTTCTGTTTAATAGCATAGCTTGTTAATTTAAACTTCTAGATATTCAGCCTCTTGAGGCTCTTCTCTTTGCTTGTCAGGTGCAGAAGTTTTCTGTGTAAGAAAACTGCATAGAGTTTGATTTATTCTGGTGCGATTTCTGTCCATCCGTAACACCAGCAACAAGAAATCTCTTTTTTTTGCCTATGTGCTTTAATGTTCGGAAGGTATTCATCTGTAACTTCTTAGCTCGGGAATTCCCAGGTAGTTTTCTACTTGCATGATAATCAGGCCCAGGTATCCTCTATAACTTCAGAAGTCAGGCAGGACTGACTGTATTTATTTGGCATTGCTGTCGGCGATTCCCAGTGTACTTAGTGAAGCACAGCTTGCTCGTCTGCCAAGTTTCTGCTCTTAATCCTTGGGATTTTTCTCTTAAATGTCATTCTTTGCCCTTGCCACAGCAGGCTTAGACATAGGTCCACAAAAAGACTTGGTGAAGTCTGGTCATCTGCCTGCACGAGTGCAATATGCAAAACATTTGCTCACCTAAAACGGGATTTGGGTAGGATTGAGACACATAAATATAAGGGTACAAGTCACAAAACCTTTGCCTGATATCCTAGGTAATTTTATAGGTAAAAATTTACTCTCCTGTATGTGCAGATTTCTGCTTCTGCATAGTGTAAAATGGCTTCTTTCTTGCCAGGTCTTTGCTCAGTTTAACACTTTTTGCATCCTGAAGTCCAGAGTTTAGATTATTGTCTTAAATTCCCTGAAAAACCTGATTCAGCAGCTGTGCTTGTAGGGTGCCTCATCAACCCTGGTGTGAAGATATTCTTGCATCTGTCCTGGCACTCAAGTGAGGCTGGTCATTATCTGGGCCGAGGAGATGGTGATGGCACTTGCCCTGCTTCTTGCTGAAGCTGTGCCTGGCTGCAGAATGGAAGGTTCATAAAGCCTGCAAAATCCAAGAGCCAGAGTACTGATCTCTGGTCTCCACTCCTTGGTCAGTTTAAAACATTAAATGGTCTCAAAACAATTTGAAGTTCACTGTCAAAGATACTGCTAACTTCTTTAGCAGCATCACTTTCCACATGTTGAGCTTCAGGGTCTTTCCTTTAATTCACACTGTTCTATGAGCTTCTGTCTGTCTGTCCCTCTGTCCATGACAAGCAGCATGGTAGACTGGCACTAAATTGCCAGCTACAGTTTCCAGAACTTTTTAGTTGAATAGGGATAAAATTAACATTTTCCTTGGGTCATCAATGGCAGCTTTTGGCATGTAGGTTGCTAAGATGTATTTGTGAATTGGTGTCATCAGTGATGCTGTGATAGTTTGATGTGTGGGGGGGTGTTCTGGTGGCAGGAGAGGGGATTTGCTCCCTGTGCCACCAGATCTGAGTCCCATCCCCCCCGGAGGGTTGAGCCAAATCGGC